GTAGCTTAATTCAATCCAAAAGTTCATATAAATTCTGTGTAAAAAAATTATCATAAGCTGATAAAAATTCGTATATATATATATATATATTGATTTGGCATCTTAGACAACTCTAAAAATTATCATCTCTAGTTTCAAAACACTCAATCTGAATATTTTTCTTTTAGATCTTGTTTTGCCCTATTAATTTTTTTATCTTGAATTAGCAAGCTAGAAAGTGACTTTGGTCTGTAGTATTTTACTTGCTTTCAAGCCTCATTAGCAGTCAATCAAGTAAATTCTCTCAGCTTTCGATGTGTTGTCTGGGTAATTTCTTCTGCCTACTGATGCATTTGAGCATTTGACAACTTGTTCCTGAGGATTTTCTAGGAATTCTTCGATTTGCTTTGTGAAACTACCCAATCTTCGGTTTTATTCCATCCACAATTAACTGACACCATTATTTCGCTCTTTTTTTGACTGTACTACCCTGATAACAGATTAAGCAAGTGTCAAACCTTTAGCTATATAAATTATCTGTTATGGAAGTAGGCCGACACTTGACCAACATCTCTGTTATCTTCTCATCACTTAGGTGTTCTTTTCTGCTTACCCTCACAATAAGAACAAATATTTATCCAAACTTTTCGCAGCCCCTTTCACAAGGATCTCTTTTGGCGCCATTCTTTCTAACTTAGTGCGCAGCAGTCATGTATTTTGCATGGCACCACCATGCCTAAATTCTAGATTTTATTTGCGATAGCAACTACCCATTTCGAGCTGTCTGCGTGGTTAATTAGCTGGTATTTCATTTGCTGACTTTTCCATTTGAATGATGAAACCAGGATATTGGAATCAATGACAATTATGGGAGATATCAGGTCTGCATTATGTTTATCCAGCTTTTGTTAGACTTAACCTCGAAAGCATATGTATAAACTTTGTTGAAATATCTAGAGACCCAAAACCACAACCGTCAGCATGAGTGATATAACGCTAGAGATAGTAGAAGAATCACTTTTGCTATATAGGCCTTTAATAACGGGTATTGAGTTGTATTATCTCCGCAATGAATAAACTTTCATTTCATTTGGATTGTTTGCCTAGTTGAAAAACCATTAAGGTATCTAAATGACTGCAACTAAAATCTTACTAAAGATATGAAGACCAAGATGCTGTGGCCTCTGGTATGGTCGTAGTCTCTTTTCAATTTAAAGAAGTGGGTTGACCTCGTTGTTGTAACTTGTTTTGTTGTCAGGGCGACTTAATAGAATGCACCTAGTCCGAAGTCGTCTGCCATAGTAGTTGTCATGATCCCCAGCATCAGACAGTGGACTTGGTACATTTTCAAACGTTGCGACGGCATCGTAGTCGGCATCATCAGTGAGTTTTGCCATTCTCCGCACCAAGCTACGAACTCTCAAAAAGGCAAGTAAAGTCAATCCCTCGACAAATGTTCCGCCGAAAAAGTTTACACTATCACTCTTCCCTCTGTCCTGACTCATTTATCAACTCCTAACCCTCTTATCCAACTCCCGCTTGGTGCGGAGAATGGCAAAACTCATTGATGATGCCGGCGAAACGTTTTAGAATGTACCAAGTCCACTGTCTGATGCTGAGAATCATGACAACTACTATGGCAGACGACTTCGGACCAAGTGCGTTCTACTAAGTCCCCTGACAACAAGACCAAGTTGCGACGAGGTCAACCCACTTCTAAAATCTTTCTGTTTGGAGAAAATCATACATTTATAGATCTTCCGACTCATTGACGTTCATTGACATCCTTTAATCCATACGTCTCAGGCTCGAACTGATCAGTGGATAAAAATAGAGGTATTTTGAAAATCTAAATAGCCTACCGACGATCGCGCCTCTTATCTCAATAGTATATTTATCTATTTTTTTATCTAATGAAATTTTATTGAAAAAGAATTTTATTAAGAGGGAATGTCTTCACAGGATCTAGTAACAGTATTTATAACTTCGTCTCTCTGCAATAATTTATCCATTAAATTCCTTATTTCTTGGCTTTTATAAAGCATCGTATACATCATGTACTGGGTCACTTATTAAAGACCATCATCTATTAACTACATTACTTTTAAGTACCCTTATGATATTATTCCTTATCTATTGTATTCTTAAGACATTTATTTAATTATTTCGCAGCATTCATTATTATTGTGTAACAACGTGTTGCTTCCCTTTCCTTCCTGCATGCTTTCCTTAAGCCTGATTGCTTATCAGCCACGGAACTATGTAATGCTCATCTTTCTAACGGGCCACATCCAGTCAATCTTGA